TATGGGAGTTCCCCCACAACCCGGGTCATCTTCTAAGACTAAAAAGACTATCCAAGCCTTGGTGTGTCGTAAATAGGAATACTTGAGTGTGATGGGAGCGTAAAGTATTCAGCAGAGATGTACTTCCCGTCACATGCTGCTGTTTCAAATGTCTCTTGCCTTATTAGTGATCAATACTCTGACGAATTATTTATTTCAGTAATTAAAGCATTAATCATTTATTTAATTATTTATTTCGAACGTATAACAGATTAACACATTTTGTGATTCGCTTTTATACAGTGTTCTGCAAGAACTTCTTATTTTTACTTCATCTTATTGGGCAATATTGTGATGTTGATGTAGTAACTACCGTATTTATTCGAATAAGCGCCCAACCTCGAATTAGCGCCGACCTCGAATAAGCGCCCATCCTAAAGGCAGAAAAAGTTAATAAGTGCCCAGCCTCGAATAAGCGCCCACCCCCTCCCCCTCCCAAATAAACTCAAATAAGCGCTCACCCCTACCCCACCCACTTGAGTGAATAAATTCTAATAAGAGACTTCCCCGAGGACGGAGTTTTCTTCAGAGTATTTTACAGAAACTTTCCTTTGTTACTTCTTCACGTTTTGTTATTAGCATTTATTGTTTTGTTGCAAAATAAACATACTTCACTTGCTGAAAATGGTGAAAATTTAATAAGCGTTCAGCCTCGAATAAGCGCCCACTCTTAAGGTCCAAAAATGTAATAAGCGCCCAGGGCGGTTAATCGAATAAATACGGTAGCTTTGTTTTACGACCTTTTGTAGTGGGTAGAGTATTTTTAACGTTTCCCGTGCAATGACTTCTTACTTCTTTGTACAATTCGCGAAGTCATTCATTTCAAGCTCACTTGTGATCAAAATTCAGTAGTTGATTGTTCTAACCGAGAACTAAGACTATTGAGCCCAAAGCATGGCTTGTTTTAACCGTAAATATACCGCTATAAGCTTCTCCCAGATTGTCAAATTATGAGAAAATTCTATTTTTCATCTAATTGAATTATGCATGAGTGAAAAATCCTGATACCCTTAATTCCTTCCCGTCATTCCTTTCGCCCCCCGTTTTCCTTAATAATTAGCTCAAATATCCCCCCAAAAAGTGATCGCGATCGGTTGAGGACTTGGCAGTTACAGACAGGGCTAGTAATACAAAAAGAATAATAAAAAGCATCAACAATTATTTTTATTTCTATCAATATTTACAATATATTCTTTATTTTATTCATGGACGAAGTATTGCTACCCGATATTCAACTGGCTTGCCTCACAGACAGGCTAAATCTCTCTGAGCTACAGTAGGTCTCGAGTGACAAGTCCGGTTGCGATACCCTGGGTACCAGAGGTTTTTTCTCGCGTTTGACGAGGAGCTTAGTCGGCCGTAACCGAAACCGGAAACCGCGCATGAAAAGCCTCTGGCAACCAGGGTACGGTTGCCACGCAGGTATATTCAATCAGTGAGAGGCAGACTCTAATAGGTATTTTACAACGACAGAGTTATTTTACGTTTTTGTAATCCTTAATTTCAACATCTGCATCCTAAACGGCATCATTTATAAACTGTACACCTATGAAACATTTTTTTGTCACATTGAAAAAAAAAAGCGTTTGGCAATTGAATTAAATGATTAAAATGAAGTACCATATTGCTGTATTTTTAAGTTCACTTTTCTTTTCGTTGGCTTTCCCCATTATCTTTGCTTAAAGAACAAAAGCAGAACTTTACAAAGCCTGATATTCTGTCAGTTATAAGATGCGGCGGTTTACGTATCGTTAAAGATAGCTTAAGTGGGTTATGAGCAAAAATTTAAACTTCCAAACTCGGATACAACAGGTCATTTCCGAGTTCCCATGGCCTCTGTATCAAAACGAGTTTAAGGGCCTGTTTACATGGAGGTGGGGGACCCCAGGTAGGTGAGGTAACCCGCTTAGGTAGGATAACCCGCCTGTCCATATAATCTCTCATTTTCATTTGATCACGTTTACATGATAGGTGGGGTGACCCGCCAAGGCGGGTAGCCCGGTCTACCAGACCGGGTTACCCTCTCAGCCGGGGTCACAATTTGTCATGTAAACGTTTCAAGGTGGGGTAACCCGCCTGGCCGGGGTCGGATTCGTGATATATCAAATTCGCGCAAAATTCACTTTCGCGGTGTCTTTGCATTATGATTAAAGTTAACAATAGAAAGCTATTGCACTGACGGGTTGCAGCAAGAGCAACAAGTGAGTGAAAAAGTGCATTAATCGCCAAAACTCGTGGTTTGCCAGCATTTTTCTTGTTTACGTGCTTAGCGACCATTCAATAATCTTGAGAAAGTGCACCCCGGGAAGGCGGGGTTGTAAGATTGCATGTAAAGGCGGGTTATTTTTTTACCTCACCTAAGCGGGTTACCTCACCTACCTGGGGTCCCCCACCTCCATGTAAACAGGCCCTAAGTGATCAGCTTTTGATACGAAAATGATTTTTCGTTCTCATCATTTTCACAAGAAAGGTTGTGCAATTGGCCTCATTTTTCACTTAAGATTGCTCCCGGAATTTCTGAATGGTTCGCATTTCGGAAATTCAGCAGATTCCGGAATTTTTGGAAACTGTACCATTCACCGCTGTTTCCAAACTTTCGAAAGTTTTGGTAGAATGGAAAGCGCCTACTGTCTCCAATCTCTATTCAGGGTCGGTCTCTTGATCCTGATTTAGATGGCTTCCTTTACTCTTCGTTCAAACCACTTAGGTTCTACAGTCAATATCTTGGTCTTCTCCAGATCTATCATGTGTCCAGGGTAACCAATGTT